ATTGTATTAAATGGAGAGTACTTTGAAAGTGAATGAAGTTTAAACATATAAGAATACACAATTATTATAAACAAATGTTATTGGGGGGGGTTCCCTCTTCTTATATAACTCCATACAGGATAAGATATCCCTTAACTGAAATGCTTGGAACCAGAAGTGTTTCAGATTTTGAAATGTTTTCATTGTATATATTTATCAGCTCGGTATCTTAAATCTGAAAGACTCCAATGTATATTTTGTTTGAGTGCTATGTCAATGCTTAAAAAAAAATTCAAATTTTAGAAGTTTTCAGATTTTCAGATTAGGAATGCTTACCCTGTATGTATATATATTTTAATATATGTGTGGAGTGCACATATATACTAAATGTATAAAAGTATGCTAGCTCTGTAATATATTATGATTTAACGTTCTGAAGTATTCCACATGTATGAATACCTTAGAAACTTCTAAATTCATTTCTCCTTAATTTTACCTTGAACTGAAGCACACTCCTAAGTACTGGTTTTTAAAGGTATGTCACTTGTAAACAGTGCCATCTTGTGGTAGTTGGAACTATTTATGTATCTACATAATAGTCATCATGGTTTGTAACTGTCTTTTTTTTTACAAATTATGTATACAGGTTATTGAGTAAAAATCCTTAGCCTACTAATCAGTTAATTTTTTTCAAAATAATCTTTTAAAAAAGAACATTTTCCAGTATGTCTTCAAATAGATATAATTTTAAATGAGACTAAGTCAGAAACTAGATTTTCTAGTAAATATTCCACTAACTATTGAATCTTAGACTAACTATATAGCCACTCTGAACCTCAGTTTCCTTAGATAAAAGGTTTTTCAACCAAGTCATTAAATCACTTTCATTTTAAAATTCCAGTTGATTCTAGTTTCAGAAAATTTTGAGTAGTTGTTTTCAGCACCTTAATATGAAATATAGGCCTGTTTATGACACTTTTAGTTATCTCTTTTATATGCACTCTGCTTGAATTTTCTTTAGAAAAAGTCTTAACTCTTCTCCCTATCCAAATAGGCTTCCCCTAAACAATACACATTTAAAAGATTTCATTGAATTATAAAGTAAACTCAAGTAACTCAAAACAAGTTTTTTAAAAACGTTCTGGAAAGGTAAGAGTGCACGTTTTGATTAGATGGGGTCAATGCCAAATCAAGTTCCTAAAAGCTAATGAGGAGGAAGTCTTTTCAAAGCTTTTAGAATTTTAAGTGTTAATTCTGATAAATAAGAACTGTAACAAGCTCAGAGTTTGGTCAGCTCTTCTTACCAGAGCCTGGACCAATACTATTCTATATTGTAGGCTTGGTACCTTGGGTTTATTTGTACTGTACTACCATTTCATTCTTCTATATTATTCATCAACTCAATTCTTTTTTCAAAATGTCTTTCTCTGATGTATCCCTTCTTATTTAACCTCTCTGGCATCGATTTAGTCCAGGCTGTCAACATTCTATCTCTGAATACAAAAATATCCATCATAGTCTATTGTTTTCCAAAAGATGGTGTAAAGACTTGCATCAGAATCATTTAGGATGCTGGTTAAAATATGTCATCCCTAGACCCCATACTGTAGACCAACACTGCCCAATAAAAATATAACATGAGCCACATATGTAATTTAAAATGTCTTGATAATCATATTAAAAACAAACTAGAAAGCCACTACACTCTATACTTGATCTTAGTCAAGAGGCTGAGATACAATGAAAACTGAAAACAAGTAAAATTACTTTAATAAATTTTATTTAATTTAATGCATGCAAAATATTTCAATATGTAATCAATTCAAAAACATATTCATGTGATACTTTACATCTATTAGTTTGTACTAAGTCTTTGAAATTGGGTATTTTAGACTTGCAGCATTTATTAATTCGGACTAGCATATTTCAAGTGCTAAAGTGTGCACTGTGGCTAGTAATTAGACTGAGTCAGCCTTGGAGAAGAGGGAATACATATCAAGAATACAAAATACCCAGGTAATTCTTCTGTACCCTCAAGATTGAGGACCATCACTCTAGACTGTCCTGTATAGTCTATAACCATTACTGAATTAACATTTGAACAAGTGCCCCTTTATGTCAATCCTAAGAACCTAGAAATCCCTAATATCTCAAGTTCAATCAACTCGGGGGGTATTCAGATTCCCCTTAAAAGTGACCTCACTCATCCATCCAACCTGCTTTCCCAGTAGAAAATGTTTTAGGTTATTCCATATAGCTTTCCCAGGCAAACATTCAAATGCTCATTCATTCAACAAATATTTGTAGAGAACTCACTAAATGCCATCACAGATCTTACAGACATTAAGGAAAAACAAAAATGGAGATTACAATTTAGATATACCTCAAGGCCAACTGCCCATAACCACATAACCAAAACTTAAGTTGTCCTGATTTCCCTGAGATGCCATCTCTAATCATAACACAAACACAAGCTTTACATTTTTGTTAGTATGATTTCAGTAAAATGAAGCCAATCAGCTATGCACATGTCAATTTAAACAGCTGTTTGCCCTAAAAAAAAAAAAACTTAATGCATAACAGCCAATCATGAAAAAGATCAAAATTCTTCCTCCTTTATGCTTTACCAACTGTGCTGTAACTGCTGTACACAAACTTCTTAAGCACTTGAAGTCTCCCAGATTATGATCTGTACTTTTTTGCATGACAATAAACTTTTATATTTTCTCAACTTGATATGATTTTATTTTTGCCACAGGAAAACATAACACAGATCATTTCATGATTATTTACAATAAAAGAAATGCCCTGAAGTAGCACTATGAGATGCGATGAAAACAAGAGCAGGTGCTTATACAGTCTGAGGGGTCAAATAAAATTTCTTTATCAAAGTAACATTTAAGGAAGGGTGTGAATATAATTAGGAATCAGAACAGATAAAATTTCTGGGCAGAGGAATGCACATTATAGAAAGCCTTGAGGTGGAAAAGGGCATGGAGAGTCAAGTTACTAAAAGGAGCAGGCAGATTAAGAAAGTAATTTGATAGGATGCTGTCCAAGCAGAAACCAGATAAGGCCAAATTCATGAGCCTCCAATTTTTCTTTTCCTGTTTTTTAAAGTATAGATATTTAAACAAAAATAGACCTCACATTTCTTAAAAGGCACACACCATGCCTTCTAAACCTTATTTGCTTCATACATTTCCTCATAGAGTACTAATATTTAATAAATAGTTCCTCTATACGTAGAAAAATCATATATTTTGCTAGCCTTTTAACTTCTAGAATCTGTAAATATACGAACAATTATTTGCAGCTTCAGATAACTTACAAACTATATTTCCATGAAACCCAAGGCAATGTTTCCTGAAGTGCTGAGTTTTAACATAAAGTACCTTAGAAAGGAGCAATTTTTATGTGGAAAAGATGGGTACCATATTCTACCAGTGTGATGCCAAAATTCTAGCTCTAACCCAAGCTCCCGGAAGGACCTCCAACTTCATTGCTCCTTACTCTGCACTTTCCCTCACGTCATTGTTCCTCACATCAAAGACTGTGACACACACACACACACACACACACACACACACACACACACACACACACACACACGTTAAAGGATGTAAGGAAAATGTTTTACCGGACCAGGTGAGTCTGTTACTTATCAAACCCATGTTTTGTTCTTCAAGCTGATCAAAACATGATACGTAACACTGTGAAAGGCGGAATTCTAAGATGATCCCCCAAATTCCTGGCCCCTAGAGAGCACATCTCTCCTTGTGCTTGGGTAGAACCCACGAATACCAAGAGATGCCACTTCTGGGATTAGGTTCATCAAAAGGGAGATTATGTGAACAGGTATGATCTAATCAGGAGACTATTCAAAAAGGATGGGGGTCTCCTGAAGTCAGAGATAGTAAGTGTAAGAAGGCCCATGGAAGGGGTAACTGGCAAACATACGAGACTGGCTTCTAGCCAACAGGTAGCAAGACAAAAGGGACCTCAGTCCAACAACCAGAGGGTGTAGAGTATCCATACCTCAGATGAGATCCCACTTGCAGACCCTTCCATTTCATCCTTCTGTGACCCTGAACACAGCCTCCGCCTATGCCATGCCCAGACTTCCAACCCACAGGAACTGAGATAACAAAAGGGTGTTACTTTAAAGTCACTGATCTGTGGCAATTCGTTATGCAGCAACAGAAAACTAATACACTCGGGTATTTCTCATACAATTAAATACCAGTATGCCTGGGTATACATAAAGTTTTCCAGACTTCATTTTACAAATATTTTCCTAGCTGCTTTAAGAAGAAAATCCTTTCGCGGCTGACACGAACATTAGTTCTGCATTACCTTAATTTGCACCCTATCATGAAAAGTCACTGAATGTGAGAGTCAACATTCACTGAAATATTCAACTTCGATGGGCTTTTTGGGCGAGGTGACCTTATTCCTGGCCAGTCGCCAAAGGGTGGGCGGGGGGACCTCCAGGTGCAATCCCCAACCCCCAGACTCTGCCCTGCCTCGAAGGGGGTCCCTAAACCCAGGACAGACGTGGACAAGGGACAGAAAAGCGGATGCGGGTCGTCCCCTGAAGCCTTCACCCAATTCCTCGGGAAACCCGCGTTCCCATCCAGAAAGCAGACCCTGTAGAGCTGCGGCCGGGCTGCCGCGCACGCAGCTGCTTCACGAACTCGCAAAGCACCCTGCCAAGTTTCCGCCGTCCCCGGGGGTCTCTGGGCCACTTCAGACGCAGCCGACAAACAGCTTGAAAGGATCTTTGAATCGCGGAACCTGTGCTCCTCGGTCGCTCAGTTCACAGGCCTGGGGAGCGGCCACTAAAACCGGGACCCTCCGTCTCCTTCCCTCGTAGAAGACCCAAGGACGCTTCACCGGGCGCCTGCAAGAGCCTGACAACCGGGTACGGCGCACCCACGTCCAGCAACTGCGCCTGCGCCCACCGGCCGCTCCCGCGAGAGCGCAGGGGAGCGGAGATTTCTCTCCGTGTGGGGCGGGGCTTAGAGGCTCGTCGCGCCTGCGTAAAGGGCCCCACGGCGTGCTGCGTCGTTACTTTTGAAACGATTGGCGGGGAACTGTTGTGGTAGCCGCCGCGGTGGTCTCAGGCTGAGTGGAAGCGTGTGTCTTCGTCTGCGGGCCGAGCCATGGCGCTGCAGCTCTCCCGGGAGCAGGGCATCACTTTGCGCGGGAGCGCCGAGATCGTGGCCGAGTTCTTCTGTAAGTTCTCGGGCAGCCCGGGGCGGGGAGAACTGAGTCCCCGTGGTCGGTAGGCCCGCAGCCGGGCCTCCGAGGCGAGGAAAACCCTTCCTGCTCGGGGCCTCCTGCTCCGCGGAAGGATGCGGGACGAGGGGATACGGGCGCTTCCTGCCGACGCGCTGCTGATGACGAGCGGGAGGTCTGGGTGCTGCTGAGGCCTGCCTGGCTGCGTGGTCGCACTTGGAGCGTTTCCCGGTCTCCCTACCTTCCCTCTTTCCCGTGGCTTGGGACAGTGTGGCCCGGTCCGAGACCCCACCCTCGCCCGCCCACCCCAGGTGATTCTGAGGCAGGCCCTGTTCTCAACCAAGCCAGCTGTAGGTTTGAACGGAAGCTGGCAGGAGAAAAGGAGAAATGAGAGGGAAAGGCTGGCCTGAGGCCCGGGAATAGTCAGTCAATTAGTTTCTGACTCGGGTGCAAAAAATATTTCGACATCCTCTAACCACATAATCTATCTTGGACTTGGATTACAATGAGGTGAAATTTGACAATGGTAGGTAAATGCACTTTGACGTTTTTTTTTTTTTTAATTGCCACATAAATGCAGGTATCTCTTTTACTTAGAAGCAAGATTTTTAGGGATTTTAAATGTCACTTTCTACCTACTCAGCTTTCAGCAAGACACTCAAACCTGTGTTCAGTCACTTACAACTTTATAGCATTAATAGCACTATAGCCAGATCTAAATATATTTTGTTTTCGAGAGTTACAAAATGATCACGACTTTTCCATAACGTTTCTTTTTTGCTTTCAGCATTTGGCATCAACAGCATTTTATATCAGCGTGGCATATATCCATCTGAAACCTTTACTCGAGTGCAGAAATATGGACTCACCTTGCTTGTAACTACTGATCTTGAGCTAAAAAAATACCTAAATAATGTGGTGGAGCAACTAAAAGGTATTCAATCATTGGGAACTACTTGAGTTTTGCAGACCCAGGATCCACATTTTCTAGCATCTCAAATGGTCATTTTTTTTAGCTTTGTACATAGAAGTGTAAAACATAACTACCATTTCAAATATAGTGATTCATAATTGAGAGAAAGCAAATAATATATAAATTGAAAAAAATTCCACCCTTCCCTAACTTACATTTTGAGTGGGCTGAATATTTTGATGTTAAGAATCCGATAGGACTTAATAAAACTTTTCATCAACTCCCTTAGAAATGGCTTTTGCGGTTATGTAACCAAATGGAACAAGCTGGAATTTTACATAGTTGTGATGGTGTTCATTATCTGAGAAAACGCATACTACATACTCTTAATATGATCTGTTAATTTTCTGTAATAGTTTAGAGTCTAATGTCATTAGATTAAGGTCAAAGGAAAATAAAATTGGATTCAACCAGGGAGCTAAACTTCAAAAAAAAAAAAAAAAGGAAAGGAAAAAGAGTTGCTACTGAATAACAACACTCCAGGTTCTTTTCTACCTATTTGTTATTTTTAAAAATTCTACCTATGATTCAGTGAGGCTTTTCTATCTGAATACTCCTGCAAGGAGTTTTCCCTCCTACAAGCTTATTATAACTCTTGATTAAATTACTGATTGACTAGTGTCCCTAGATTCCCTCTTTACCATCTCCAGTCCTTGTTCCACATCACAGCCACAATGATAGTTTTGAAATACAAGTCTACATCACACTCTGCTTCAAACATAGTAATTCCCTGATCTAGAAGTATAATTTTTTAAAATTTGACCCACCTTATTTGGCATAGTCTAACTCCTGTTTATCTTGCCAGAATTACCTTGTTCATTCTTTTTGTTTCTTGATTGTAGTTGTGCTGGCCTACTTTCAGTCCTCTGGTCATATTCTCGTCCCTTTTGAGTATTTGAGGCCTATACTTTCCTCCCTCTCCTTTTGCATATTTAATGCTGTTGGTTCGTAGAGCTAAACTCAGGCTTTCTCTGAACTTTCTGGGTGAATCAAATTTTTCTAGTTTATGCTCTTGATGGACCATTTATCTCCCTTATAGCACCCATTATAAAGATAATTTCATATTTATTGGTGTGATTAGATTAATGCCCATCTCCTTTGCACTTACCTTGGATTAAGATGGAAGTATCACATATTTGAGGATAGGAAGTGGATTCTGAGAAGAAAGCTGCTTTGCAATGCAGTGGACCAAAGAAGATGCCTTGTTATTTGTTGCAGATTGGTTATATAAGTGTTCAGTTCAGAAACTGGTTGTAGTCATCTCAAATATTGAAAGTGGTGAGGTCCTTGAAAGATGGCAATTTGATATTGAGTGTGACAAGACTGCAAAAGATGACAGGTAAGTAGTAATTGTTTTCACATTCATATATATTTTTCAAAACTTGTTTTCATTACTAAATGAGTTCCGATTATATTGAACTAGGTTCATATAAAGTATAGTTTGTTTCTTTTGTATAGTTTCTAAGATTATCAATCACCTATGGAAAAGAATTGTGCTCACTTTAGTATTTCATTGATTTGTGTATATATAGCATATGGCTAACATAATTGCCTTTAGTTTAAATCAGTGAATTTCAAATTTTAGTATTTACTGTTGCATATACAAAACTACACAATGTCTTTGAGGGACCATTTAGTGAATTAAAGAATGATCCTAAATTTTCACACAGCTTAAGATGCAGCTTTACTGTACATCATTTAATGCCATGAACTTCCTAAGACACCTAATAAGCTACTGAAGGTTGCAGACTCCTTGGATGGGAAATGCCCATCTTTATATTCTAATGTTTAGCATTGTCCCAGGCTTTTCTGTAAACTTAGAATGATTTCTCTTTTTCTGAGTTGGAGTCTCTTTGTCGCCCAGGCTGGAGTGCGGTTGCATACTCACAGCCACCACAGCCTCTACCTGCTGGGCTCAGGCTATCTTCCACCTCAGCCTTCCAAGTAGCTGGAACTACAGACACATGCCACCACGTCCAGCTAAGAATGATTTCTCACAATGAAATGTAGTTTGCTTCTGCCTTTGGTCTGTTTTAGAGAATTTTTAGCTTAGAAAAATGATTTGATACACAATTTAATAGTTTCTTCGAGGCAATAGAAAATTAGACATTTAGATATTACTAAAAATGCCAAAATGTTTATACCAATTAAATATTTTAGGTACCACTTGTTATTTTAAGAGATGCTAAAGTATTCCTTACTTGAAGTGACTGGCAAATTTTCTATTCATCTGATACTAAATGACCTGATCCAAGACCAAGTCTAAAACATGATTGGAAGGGAAATAAAATAATGATATGTGTTGTGCCTACTAGGTTATAGGTCATGGATACTTTACTCATATATTTTTTAAAATCTCCTTTTTAATGCATTACCTGCTTGATTTTGGGAGCATTTAATCAGATAAGTAATCTTACCACAGTATTTTTTAAAATTTGTTAAGACCTAAAATGAATTAACTGATTTGGTTTCTTTGGCAGTACACCCAGAGAAAAATCTCAGAAAGCTATCCAGGATGAAATTCGTTCAGTGATTAGACAGATCACAGCAACAGTGACATTTTTGCCACTGTTGGAAGTTTCTTGTAAGTATTAAACAACTTCTCATTGAGTTAAATTTACCAAGGAAAGACCAAGCTATTGCCTTAAGAATCACCCCTTTATTACTCTTAATTATCAATATGTAATATAAATGAAGGGAAAATCATTAATAAAGCAAAAGTAATATATGGTAATCCCCCTTTCCATGGAAAGACTCCCAGTGAATGCCTAAAACCATGGTTACTACGACCTCTGTATATACTAAGTTTTTTCTTATATATAGATACCTATGATAAAATTTATAAGTTAAGCACAGTAAGAGTTAACACCAATAACTTGTAATAAAATGGAATAATTATACCAACATGCTAGCATCACTACCATTGCACTTTGGGGCCATTATTAAGTAAAATAAGGATTACTTGACCACAATCACTGAACTCATGACAGTTCATCTATAACTGAGGCAGCTACTAAGTGACTAATAGACAGGTATATACAGAGTGGATATGCTAGACAAAGGGATGATTCATGTCCCTGGTGGGATGGTGTGAGATTTCATCACATTTTGTATGCAGTTTAAAAGGTAAAAATTGTTTATTTTTGGAATTTTCCATTTTAGTATTTTCAGACTGATTGACCATGGATAAATGAATCCATGGATAAAAGGCTATATATATACATTCCAGAAAATTTAGGAAATGCTGAAAAGAAAAAGTATTTTCACCGTACGCACTCTTGAACATTTTGATGTAACTTATTTCACTATTTTTATTTTCTACACATTTTTCTTTATGTAATTAAGATGGTAGCTATAACTATGTTTTCATTTCCAGTCTTCTTTATTCATCTTAAATTTACTGAGAACCTGCTGTATACTGGGCACTGTTTTGGGCACTGGAATACAGCGACTGAACCAATTTGTTAGCTTTCCTCAGGCCTACATTCATATTTTCTCATGTGTTCTAAATGTGTTGCAAATATTTTTGATGATTTTCTCTTTAAAGACAAAAAAACCATGAATTTTTCTTAAGAAAAAGTAGAAGGATAAAATATTTTCTTTACTAATAAAATTTTTATTGAGGAAAATAAATTAACTTGTGTTTAGAGACCAGGCTAAGCTATCTTTTATAACAGTGGGTGGTTCAAAATAGGAAGGGTAGTTTTACTTTTGAAAAATAATATACTTTAATGAACTTATCTCCAATTTAGGTTCATTTGATTTGCTGATTTATACAGACAAAGATTTAGTTGTACCTGAAAAATGGGAAGAATCGGGACCACAGTTCATTACCAATTCTGAAGAGGTCCGTCTTCGTTCATTTACTACTACCATCCACAAAGTGAATAGCATGGTGGCCTACAAAATTCCTGTCAATGACTGAAGATGAAATGAGGACAATAGTGTAATTTTAATTTTCACATGTGGTTTTCCTGAAACCAAGTCAACTGTAGTTGATATGCTTTATTTCCTTGGTTAATTTTTAGATGGGGGAAAACCAACATCATATTTTACTGAACTGTGTGTAATTGTTACATTTTTTTTGGTACCTGTTTGACTTTCAGTAGGGTTGGAATAGTGAATTTATTGCACATTGTTCAAAAGGAACCAGCAGCATTTTAATGTTAATTCCTTTGAAGGTGGTAACTGTAGGTGGGAAAAGTTTTGCTATAAAGCTAAATGCTTATATAAATAAGACATTTTGGTCAAGTAGCTTGACTTAGTATAAATAAGGAGATATTTAAATATAAAATACAACAAAAGTCTGAGTATTCAGAATCTTTGCTTGGATCTTGAAAGTAACTAATAACCCATAAACAATGGAAAATATTGTTCTATTAGGTCTTTGTCATTTATTTCATTGTATAGTTTCTATATTGAATAATTTTCCAATTATCTGATTTTAATTTAGATAACTTGATCCCATGAAGCAATGAATATTTCTACTGTTAATTTCCAGTGGTGCAGAATTCTTGGGAAAAGGGAGCTTAAAACAAAAAGTACTTATCTTTCACATTTTTATGAATCAAATTTAAATACAGCTTAGCTTGATGGTTCTGGCTTAGGGTCAAGTTGTTGGCTGGGGTTACTGTCATCTAAAAATGTCACTGGAACTGTAGGATCCACTTCCGGGATGATTCAGTTACATGGCAATTGGCAGAAGGCTTTAATTCCTTGATGAATTTTGACAGAACTCTTAAAAATTATTTTTATGTTTTACAAAATCAAGCTTTAAGTGAAAATGAGGAAATAAAGTTAAATTTGTATGTTGTAAATAAATTTATCTTAAAATGTTTTTATATTGGTGTGGTGTTAATACAACTAAATGTGATTAGAATGGATTCAGCATAGCAAATTAATTCTTTTGCCTACTAGGTTGTAGGGCTTAAGGATACAGAGTTGAGTAAGTCTCAAGGTACTTTCAGTCTAATGGATAAGCTTTGATAATACCCCCTAAGCCTATGACTTCATCATTGTAAAAGGATGTCATTTGAAATTAATTCCACAGTTCCAGCTTAATAAATGTTAACTAATACTTTTTTATATTCTTAGTCTTACATATTTAAATATCATGCTTATTCCTGTGTTTTCATTAATACCTTCATCAGGTATGTGCTTTCTATCTACTGCTCACCTGTTTTTTCAAGGTCAGTTTACAAATTTGCCTTAAATTTGTTTCTCTGTTCTAAATCTTGTCTCATTTTGTAATTCACTTATTAAATCCTTAGTATAGGACACTGTTCTAAGCTCTTTATGTGTATTAACTTCTTTAACCTTCACTATTATTAAGTAATTGCAGATATTTTTTCCATTCATTCGAGTATTACACATTGAGCATCTTTTAATGTGCAAAATACTGTGTGTCAGGTGCCAGAATAAATAATGTTTGGCCTTTCTGAAGCTTGAGATCTACAAGGAAGAAGGAAATAAGTGGCAAAGCACCATTAAGTAACCAAACAGCTTTATTCAATTATGCATTTATCTTTGTTATTTCATCTAGATGAATTATATCTCTTTGATCCAATTGAGTGCTTGTAAAATCTAAAGGGCAAAGTCTTGCACTCTTTCATATCTCAGTACTGGACAAACAGATGCCAATATTTGGGGATGGGTCTAATGGATGCTGTTAAGGAAGGTTCATTCCCCAAAAAGTTGTTGAAGCTACTTGAGGTCCAGCTAAAGAAAACAGGTAACCCATAAGTCTTTTCCTGAATGAGAAAAATAGTTAAACACAAATGGGAAGTATTTTGAATTAGGTATATTATCAGAAGTCTAGGATTTCAAACAATAGACATAGTTTAAAGTGGACACTATTAAAACTAAACACTTCTTTGAATTCTTGGCCTGTACATAACCTCTAACATTTGAAATATTTGTTGAGAAGGAAAGCAGAAGTAGAGCTTCCAAATATGAAGATGAAAATTCTAGTCTTTTTTAGGAAATATGTTTGAAGTCTATAGAGAGCAGTGACTGCTTCAAGAAACTTTGAGTGCCTCTTTACTAAACAGTAGGAATGATAAAATGTGATTCTTCCCCCCAAAAGCTCACCAATCGCAACTTATGTACTACTGATAGCACTTAAATGTCCATCATTTATGTCTTTATTTGGCAAAGTAAATGGTCCTGTTATTACTATTTTTGTGATTTATTATAGTACCAACTTTAAGAGGTATATCTAGAAATTAATGCTGTGGAGTTAAACGTTAGTCTCAATAGTAGGAGCTACTGCCTGCAGCTCACTCTGTAGGACTAGTTCTGCATTAATTATGCTTTTGCTTGTTTGAACACAGCAAAAACTGGCTGGAAAGATTTAATGGAAGAATATTAGCTACGTGGGAAACGAAGGAAAGGCTAAAAACCTGAAAGTAAGAGCAGTTTCTGGGTTCTTGGTCACAAATTTGTTGACTATATTTTCATATAATAAATGGGCCACTGGAATTACTTAGCTTGGTGATTTTTTAAAGAAAAGTGGCAATGAAACATTTGCATTTGAGACGTAATACTAAGAATTCTGGGAAATTGCATTTTCAAAGATTATGTGTATGCTTTGGCCATTTCAACTCAGCCAACATTGATAACGGTTAAATTCTTAAATTTTTATATAGTTTACATGTTACTGTTTACTCTTGCAAGGTTTCTGAGGAACTAGTCATGATCTTTTTTATCCCTTTCAGATTATGTATTAAGAAATATCCATTTTGTAGCTGAGTAGTAGCCAAGATAAGCTCAATTGGAAAAGTTTTGGCCTGTGGCTCCAAGTGGCCTTGTCCCACCTTCTTTTTATACTTGGAGGCTTACCTTAGGAGGAAGATATTTAAAACAACAGGTGAAAGACTTATGACTGGCTTCCACACTATGTTAAAGACAAGCAAAAGTTCTAAGACAATCTGGTGAACCTTTAGATCTGGCCTGGATTCTGACTCAGTTTTACTTACCATAGGTAGAAGAATGAAAACAGGTTCATTTAAAGCTCATCAAGTTCTGAAATAGAGCCCAGGAGGGCCTGAAATATACCTGGCCTTCGGATCCCTCTCCCAGTGTTGTCAAATCAGAGAAGTCAAACCTCCATGGTAATGCTTAAGCAGAGGTATAAGTGCTGTATTGGCTTTTGCTGCATAGCAAGCAAATAAGCATTTTTTTTCTCATACAAGTCTACAAGGTCAGCTGAGGTGGTTCTCTCCTACATATCTCATTCTACTGTCAGAGGAGCAGTGACTAGCCAGGACTCAGAAGGCTTAGCTTCAAAACTAACACTGACTTTTCCCAACATTCCACTAACCAAAGCAAGTTTTATGACCTTGCCAAACTTCAGTGGAACCAGAGAGTATGAATATACTCCCATGTAGGTGGTGGGAAGAGCATGTGGATGTTGAAAGTGATCTAATGGACTAGGTGTTGGAAAACTTGTATATAGCCAGATAGTAAATAGTTCAGGCCTCGAAGGCATATGCTCTCTTACACCTACTCCAGATGGCTGTAGCTTGAAAGCAGTCATAAATAATACACAAATGAACAAGCATAACTGTTCCAATAACAAAAAACAAGGCACAAGGGTTGTAGTTTGGCAACCTGTAATTGATCACAGTTTGCACTTTCAGTACAAATATTCAAACCCTGCTCTAGCTCATAGAATTTTTTAAAGCTCACTTGTAAAACATCATTTGTTACTTCCATCCGTAGTATCTCAAGTTGAAACCTGATTTTATCTCTGTTCCATATTCTCTGAAGCACAACTGGCTATATATTTGAGGTACTTCCTAGGGCACTCAGAGTTTACAACTCTGATCTGAAAGCTTAGGAAGGAAGACTCTTTGGCATATAATGTGTAAAAAGAGACTCAGAATAGCATAAAGAATCCATCTATTTAATCATTTTCACTATATAACCCTGCATACTGAAACAATATTTTTATTAGATTATACTGTTTCTTATGTTCACTAACCTATACATTTTCGAGTATAGACTCAAAAATTATTAGCAAAATAAGGTAGGTATCCTTATAGTTTTTTTCTTCTTTTTTTAAATTAGTTACATAGTATGTAAAATTTATCTAAAACTTGCTTTACATTACAGATCAGAATAGCCATGTATGCTACATTGTAACTCCTATATTTTCCACCAGATGTCACTAATGCCGTAATATTCAAGTTTCGATGACTTTTGGTTATAAAGACTATAATGTCTTAGTGGAAGTTAGCATTGAGATTTCTGGCTACAAATATATAAATGCATCAGGGAAAAACACTTAATGTCTATTATTTGCTAGTCACTTTACATGAATTATTCTCATGCTTTAATGCACAAGTAAAATTACAGAGTCAACAGGCATGTACATTGTACTGTTTTTTGAAGTTTAGATGGTCTCTTCTGTCTTCAGCCAAGTAAGCTTATCCCAGTTCCCCCAAACGTTCATCAAAAGGAGTGTTTCCTCACCCTTTTCCTCTTACATTTTACATCCTTTTAGCAATTGAGTATTCAGCACAAACTGGTTTTCTTTTACTGTGCTTTGTGAAACTTAACCATGTCTTATTGGATGACTTTGTAATTATACTTTCCTTGGATAGTTGTTGTCAGATGACTTTGACCAATGAGTGGTAGAAATCACAAGACAGAGAACCCCTATTCCATACCTTATCTATATTGTCTAAAGGATAAATCAGGTGTGAATTTGTGAACACTTGCAAAATGTAATTTTCCAACTAATCAGAAGAATTGTTGATTAACCTCAGCTACTCTGAGTTTTTGAGGAAGTAATTATTGGCTTAACTTGTAAATAATTTATTCATTTTTTAATGTATGAAATTATATTTCAAGTTATTTTGTTCAGTGTGACTATAATAAAAGTTTGTTGGAATAACTGAAGTGAAAACTGTCTATTAAATTTCAAATTTTATTAGTTATATTTTCTAAAACAGACCTTTAGAGATCTTTCCATTCTTCATGATTATGACTTTTAAAGCCAGCAGTATTCACTGAGGCTTAAAAAAAAAATCTTGTTGGGAAATCTACTTAATCTTCATTAGAGTTGACAATCTTGTTCCAATCTGGCAAAAACATCGTAGCCCTAGCAACAAGACTATTACAAAAGGCCTAGAGAGAAAAATGTCAGAGTTGACCCTCTGATTATACAAGTTGGTTTATGTTACCATTTCACCTATTTTTGTCCTCTACCATCTGATCTATTTTTATACCAGAGAAACATGATATAGTTTCATTTATTTGTACAAAGTCCATTTTCATCTACATTTATCTGCACCATTTTGCTATGCAAGCTTGTTTGCACCAAGGAACTTACATCAGATCAAAATCTTTATTGTCTTGGAATTTTATCTGTGCTGAAAAAGGCATCCAAATAGAAGCTAGACCTTCCATACTCTATTTCCTTGCAAGTGAAAGAGCGCAAATGTGTTTAATATAAACTATCTAGATATGGACATGTCTAGTTGATGCCTAGACCTGGATATGAATTTCTTTTTGAAATGGCAGTCTCAGTGACCAATTACAGATGTTAGTGGTTTTTAAGATGGAGTCTGTGATGTGCAAGCTATTCATGCCTAAAATGTAGTTCTTGGATCACTGTGCTCACGATTGTAATAGCCAGTACAGCTCTGTAAAAACAGGCTGTGGCGATGGAACATGAGGAGAACTATGAGATGAAGGGAAAGAAGGCCAAGATTCAAATGAGGAGTCTTCTGGAGCAAGGAACAGTCCCAAAACCTCAGTTCGGGGCTATGAGGGGTGAAGAAGGGGCAAGGACTGGATCCAAAATGAAGGTTTTACAACCCTGCTGATGTCCCCAAGAGTACCAGAACTGTAAAGCAAAACCATGAAGAAACACTATCCTGGGAGAGAGAGTGCTTTATGGAGTAACTTTAGCTTAATTTTTTAGCAAGGAAGAGGAGATCAGGCATCAAATTAGCTCATTATATGCATTATCTCAATACTCACAACAACCCCATGAGGATGATATCCCCATTTTACAGATGTAAGGTGAAGTCATTTGCCCAACATAAAACATCCACAACCCATCTCCCAGTCCAATTCTGAAGTCAATATTTTTTCTACTCTATCTCATTGCCTCTCAAGAGACTAGGGAGCAGGGGACAGTTTTCCTTGCTCCAGATTTAGCCACAGGAAGACCATGTGACTCTCACCCCAAGTTGGGGAAGTG